TTGCCTCTTGTCCTGTTGCTGGGCACCACGGAGAAGAGGCTGGCCTCATCCTCTTGACACTCCCCCTTCAGATACTCGTACACTGAGGGAGGAGTTTGTCTGTGTGGCCCTGGCTACTGCTGGCAAGCGTATGGGCCACACCAGAAACAGCATAAAGCCTGCTCTTCAGGAATTTCTTTTCTAATGTCACTTTTCCCCTCTAGTCTCTTTTCACAGTAGGATTAGGGCACAGACTTGGCACAGGTCCTGGCAACGAAGGAGGAACGGGAAAGAAAAGCAGGATATCTGCTGGAAGGAGAGAGGGGTAGGGGAGACCTCCGCTTGCAATCGGAGTGGGGTAGAGATAGGTGGGTGCAGGAGGAACAGGGGTACGCAACAAGAAAACCTGCAGTGGTATCTCCCAGCTCTGTTGCCCAGCTGCAGCAGGGTTTTATTTTGCCTACACTGCTGAGAAGCCTTGAGCCGGCTCTGCAAGCGTCACTCAATGAAAACAATAAGCAGGAAGCTTAACAACAAACACGACGATGGACAGTTTCACATGTCATTTCATTAAATTGTGAAAATCATGGTAAACATTGTGAAGAACAGGGAGATAAAATGGGTTAAAAAGGAATTAGACATGCTAGTAGAAGGCAGAGCAATCTGTAGCTATTAAACACTGTCACAAAAATGCTCACTGGCAGAATGTGGGAAAAACACAGTATGTCTACGAATGTTGCAGTGACATCACTTCACTGAATGGTCATGTTATGCAGGTGCTGTTTCTCCTGTATTCTCTCCCTAAGCATTTGCTACTAGTTGGTGTCACTAATGGAAACATAACATGGCAGGCCTTACGTGAGATTTGTGCTAAACCTAGTTCAAAACATTTTCTAATTATTATTTATACTTAGCCTGAAAATGTTGAAAAACACAGAGGGTTTTTCTCCCTCTTCTTTAAGAGAAAATAAGCTAGCAGAAAAATTAAAGGCAACAGACTGAAAAATCCACAGGCATGCAGAATTATGGCAAAGATCTCGTCCTAAAGCCCTGAAAACAAAGGTTTCATTTTTCAAGTAGTGTGACAGAGAATAACATACGCAAGCTGTTGTACCATGCAAAATATAAAGTTTCTTTTTGACGTAACTGAACCCTAATCTACCCACAAGGACTCTCTCTGCTTAGTTAGGATGTTGTTCCTTCTCCTTTTTTTAATCAACATTGTACACACTATCCACTCTATGCGACACTTCGGTTGACAGGGACTGAAGAGTCTTACCTGGGGTGGTGAAGTATCTATTCCTGTCCCCTCCTGGATGTAGCTGTGCCCCAGCCCGACTTTCTGCTACCTTCCCTGAATGAGCAAACTCTAACAAGGTGCTGGTAGCAGGGGCAACAGAGAGGCTTATTTGGACCTCAAGAAGAACTTTCCCCCAAACAGCAAAAACTGCAAAAGCTGCCGAATAGGGATTTTTTTATCTAGCAAAGTGGACGGCCTGCTTGGCAATTTAAATTACAGTTATTACGGTTTGGGGGAATTATCATGTAAATGAGTGGTTTAAAGACAGGATGACATGATGTCCCTCTTAAGGCCGCAGGCTAATGGGGTGCAGGCTGCTGATGAGATGCCCCATGGATCGCTTCTCCCATCTCAGAGCCGTATCCTGAGCCTCACATGGTTCCTAGCGTAGTGGGCTGGGATTGCAGCGTTTAGCCACGGACAGGCCCGACGATTTAGAGAGGGAATTGCCCTTGCACCCGCTCTCAACTCTGCAGAACGTAAGACACCCAGTTTCTAAGGAAAAAGCACCACTGGGTAATAGAAAGAGTGGCTTCCTGTTGGTTAATAGTTTCAATACAACTGTGGCCTCAGTATGTGGTACATTTGATGTGCATGCTACATTGTTTCTGTGTCTGCATCAAATGGCAATAACTGTGAAGAAAATAGCTTGTAATTAAGCAACCAGAGAGCCAGCAGATGGATGCAGACAGATGGGAGCACACTTGGAGGCTATGAGACAATATTGGTCAGCATGACAGGCAACAGTCACAGCACACTATCGAATGTAATGCCTACAGTCTCAACCGCAGTTATGGCAGAGGTGAGTTTTAAGGACATATTGGAAGGCAATAAAAGAAATCACTTTTTAGATGCTCCCAATACTCCTTTGCAAGGGTGTGGGGCAGAATGGAAGAAAAGTGCCTGTCAGAAAATCTAAAACATGTTTGAGGAGGTGGGGGGCTGGCATTGCGTGCGCTAACGCAGATGAAAAGAACTGTGCATCTTACCTGTCTACCCAAAACCAGTAACGTGACGAAGAATATAAACAGAGAAATTGAGCCCATTGTCTTCAGGTCTTTCAGTATTCCTGGCCTACAAAATAAAAGCTTAAGTTCAGCAAGCTACTCAAAAGTTCAAACACAATTACTTTGGCACAAGAATAAAGAAAAGATTGCAATTTGTACTACTTTCTGGTAGGTAAATTAAGACCACTTAAATTGATACAATTTATGACGTTCTTATTTGATGAAATATGACTATTTTCATAATGAAACTTTAATTAATTCTACTACAATCTATGCAAATGTGCCTATATTTTTAAGTCCAGTACTAAGGTGAGAATTTATTACAAGTAATACCCTTCTTTGCTTACAAATGGAGACCATTTGGTGTTTAGTCTGTATAGACAGATGAAAGAGAGATTTTTTTTAGGTAATACACTACTTTCATAAGGCAGAGCTTGACTGCATCTCACGACCATGAGGAATCGGAACGCAAAGCACCTCTTTTCCAAGATGTCTTTTTATCTCAGAACCACAGGAGCCACAAGCTAGACCTCATATACACTTTACTAAAAACTCTGCTTTGGGAAAAGACACTAGAGATAATGGGAAACAGTCTACAGCAGCATGCCCCTACCGAAACCACCTGAAGAAGAGCCTTGGTGAAGAAGAACCTTTCTATGTAGGAAAATGCCAATAAATACACAGCTTAACTGCTAAAATTAAGGCTGCAAGAAGCATATGACAAATCTAACCCATCACATGGTTCTACACCCCATCTCACATATATCTGAATAACTGATTTTGCTTATGCTTAAGTATTTAGACCTAAGCCCCAACAAAGCATATGTCTTCCTGTTAATTTTGATCCTTCCCCATGGATGTCTCCATGTCCTAAAGATCTTGAGCAGTTCATAGCACAGGAAAAAACGACTCCGAAATTCTACTCGGAATATGCTTTTTTTCCTCTTTCGGCATATGCAGCTGCCCACTCAGGCTATGTATAAGACAATCACCTCTTTGTTTTAAAGAGGAGGTAGAAATTATATATGTCTAAGAATTATTTTCCATAGCAATGCTTAGAATTAGAGGCATAATTATGGTCTTTTATAACATCACCGATAACAAAGACTTCTGTGGCCTCACTGGAAATACAACATAGGGATGTGCAAGCACAGGAAGAAACCTGTCCAACCCGTAGGTATATATATTTTTTTGAACAGCTGAGACTGCATTTTTTACATTTTGAGACAACGTACTAGTTCTGGGAAAGTTGATTTTCTTTGCCTTGCAGCAAATATGTTTTAATAGCCTTAATGACGTTTAACATTTCTTCCTGATGTCCTTATTAGACAATACAAACTAAACTACATTGTACTTCCTATATTATGTGATTTATACATCTTGCCCAGACTTGCTTATTTTATTCTAATGCTCTTAGGTGTGACGTTAACTTGTATGTTATTAGCAGCATGGCAGTGATTTTAAATTATGACTTGTAGATTATATAGCCAAAGATATTAAAAAAAAAAATCTGTTCCATGACCTAAGAACTGACATAGCTTCTGCTCCTCAGATACCTGTATTTCATTTCTATTAGTTTCAGAAGAATTGGAATTATCAACCTACCTTTTTAGAGGTGCCATTGCGTACATAAATTTGCTGTAATCATCCAGCATGGACCCATGAGTGTGTAGGAGGATAACATTGTAGCCCACCAGTGCAATCAACATTATCACCATTTTCAACTCATAATTTATCCTTAGGAAAACGGAACAGGAAATCAATCCTAATATGCAGCTGTATATAAAATACTGGCAAAGGAAAAGCAAATGGGAAATATTTAGGATTTTGTCTGTTGAGTGGGAAATCATACATAACAAAATGCCTAGGCTAGTTTTTCAAAAGTTATTAACTGATCAGTTAACTATGAAATCTATCAGTGTATAAAGAATCAGAGTACCACAACCAGATATTGGTGTTTCAGAAAATATATCGTTTTTCTCACTTGGCTCTAATTTACCTGAAACTCACTAAAATGCAGATTATGCTCCTAATTTATTCTCCCTCATTGTCACCCTTTGCCATTTTTTATTTGCTCATCTGCAGTAGCAAGAAGTGCTTATGCTTGGGACACCACTGCTGGTGGGTGCTGAAGTCTAGTGCAAGAGTCTACTTGCCAGCTTGCTGACAAAAGGTTTACTCCTGTGCCTCTGTGTGCTTTGCAGCCATACTTGAGTACCATTACCACGCTGGACAAGTTACTGAGCATAGGAGAAGATCAAGATAAAAACATCTGAAGATCTGAAAAGAACTATTTCATTGACTACGCTTGCAGTGTTGGTAAACTGATGTAGTATGCACAGATCTTACGAACCTCAGACATACGTAGCTGTACAAACTACAAATATGACTCAGAGACGAAGAATATAAAATGATTAATTTGGCCTATGCATAACATAAATATAAGACAAATAAAAAAATCTTTACATCAAATCTGCTTGAATTATAACTACTTAAAAACACATGGCAAAAGCAACCTTTTCTTTCCTATGCCGTGTAAGTCAATGAAAATATGTATGGTTGAAGTAAAATTCCTTGAAAAAACCTTTCACTGGATACTTTCTGGAAAGGGATTAGGACATCAAAATTAATGCTATAATAGAAATAATACATTCTCACTAGAATTAGAAACTTGGTCTTTAACATATAACACCTTGGCCAAAGAGGAAACGTACTGGTTCCTGAAAAGTATAGTCCTGAACCTTGTAAGGAAGTTACCTTTTCTTACACTACAAAGCATTTTATTTCTAGGTATGCTATTTTCAGACTACTGTTGACTTGTTGATGGCAGTATTTTTGATATAAGCTAAATCATTATATACTGATTTTGAAGGATCATTAAGAAGAATAATTTTGATGGCATCTGCCTGGCAGAATTGATCTGCCGTATGAATCTTCACTGTTACTGTAAATTGCTTGTAGATCTGCTTGAAATAAGAAATAAAAAGAACTATTGTTCAGAATCACCAGAATTAAAACTTCACTGATGGTTGCATTCCTTAAGAGGTCATACTTTGTTTTCAGAATTCAGTGTTATATAAAAGTAGCAGAATCCATTTTTCACTTGACATGGCATCCTCCTTTTGAAACTAGTTTTCCAAAAAAAAAAAAAAACAAGCAAACAAAAGACAGTGTTGAATCCAAAAGTGAATTCAAGAATCCAGTCTTGAATCCAAAAAACTTCCAAGTGGATTAAATAGTCTCTGTTAGTGCTTCATAGGAATACATAGTCTAAAGGGAAAACTTTAGCTAAGATTTCAGACATGGCTGGATAGATTACAGAGCAGTTGCACAGCTACACACCTAAGAATGCAGGTACAGCATATTAAAATGCAAGATTCCAGTAAGTATGAAGCAGATTTGGAAATCACTCTATAGGCAACTCTATTCAAACAGCCACACCAGGTTAGGGGGCTTTTTTGAAAATGCAGCCCTAAATATGTCCTTTTCATATCATAATTTTCACATATTAGTTCAAGACTCTTGTTTCTGAGCACCCAACATCACAAGAGAATGTTTAAAATCCTTTCAAAGGGATTGAAATTTCACCCTTTTCACAAACATTTTGCAAACTGAAGTAGCTAGTGGAAGCATTCTGCTTTGAATCCTTTTTTATCCTTTCCAGCTTTTCAGACTAAAGCAAAGGGTCTTGAAAGAAATCAGAGGAGGAACTGCAAGATAACGTACTTCAAAAGAAACGCTGCAGGGGGCTAAGGTAGCAGTCTAGCTAACGTCTGAGAAAGATGCATGAAGGACATTGGAAAATAGCCACAATTTGGTGAAGGAACAGTCAAAGTAACCATACAGAAAACCAGGGCCAGTGGAATTACTGCAGTATGTGTAGCATGAGAGCTGTCATCCTTCTGAAAGTGTATAAATTGCCAGCTGCCAGGCCAATGGCAGCCTGGCTCCTGGGCTAAGCCATCTCCTCTGATTCAATCAGATGAATCTGAACTTTCCTACATAGGAATTACTGCCCAGCTGGGCCAAATTTATACCTTTAGTGTAAAGGTACACTAGGCTTGTTTCTGAGTGAAGGCCCCAGATGCAGGGTTGTTCATCCTACACCCCTGCACAACCTCCTGGAGAAAGAAAGGGGCTCAGATTACGCAGGCATTGAGGCTTTTCCCAAGACAATGAGCTGCAGTGATAGCAACCCTTATGATCTTATCTTCAGCCTAGCGTGACTGGTCTCATCTCTTCCAATTTAAGACCGGTGGCTATGAAGATCGTAATTTTACTAAAATAAAAGGGATTCTAGCCCATCTGTGAAGAAAAAAATGAAAACTAAGTCATTTTGGAATTTCTTAGTCAAATATAGTCTGTTCCAAAATTGCATCTTTTAAAAGTCAGTATTATGACTTTTGCTTATTTAACATATGGATACGGCAGCACTGATAATAGTTTATATTTCACCACAGGAGCAGATAGGCGTGATGCAAAATCTCCCAGGCCTAACTTCCAATACGTGGAAACTACAGAAGCTTCATAATAAAACTAAACAAAAATACAAGCAAAGTCCTTGACTTTGGTAAATCTTATAAAAGAGGAAGAAAGCAAGCAACGGAACTCAGAAAAGCTATTTTGTGGGGTGGGAGAGGGAGAGAATCAATTAGTATGCACCCGAATAGACTAAGTTCTAGCAGGGCTGAAATAACTACAAAAATCTCTTAATTTTAGATTACGTAGTAAATAGATTTGTAAGGTCCACTGTCATACCTCACAGGAAGTTTATCTGCATGAGATAATGCAGATTAATGCAGATTTAATGCTTAAAGCTAACACACAGATACAAAACATGATTGATTTTTAACTTAAGAAAATAAACACTGTCAGCACAAGTGTTCAGTATCAGTACTCAGTCAGCATCTTCTTCAGTTAAGAGGGAAGACATTCATTTCCAAATTTCTAAACAGCTTTCTAAGTCAACAATCAAAAATAGTAATTCAAAAGGAATTTGCAGCTTTTTAAGCTAGAGGTTATGAGCTCTGCAGTGGCTGAGGATGAAAATAATGTGCATTTGAGAGTAGTTTAATAAACGAAATGGGACAAGAGCATTACAGTCTTTAGCAAATCTAAGCTTTACATTTATATAAGCAAAAATGACATTTTTAACATAATTGTTCTGTCGATTTATCAAAGACAAAGTTTCTTTGATGAAAGAATGCATATTAATAGTTTAACATCTAGAAGCCATTAACTATTAGAAATGTGCCAATCATATGAAGAGCGGACAAAGATCTTAGCTATGCAAGGGAAAATACAGGAAAAGAAACAAACACTTTTTTTTAAGAACAATAGATTCAATCTTACTAATACGTATCATTTATGAAAAATGGAGCATTCAGATGCTTGTTGGAGAACTTAACTGGTTAAAAAAAAACCTTTCCAAGAAGTTCAAAACCATAAAAAGTAATGTAAAAAATGGGGATAGAGAACCTATTAATTAAAAAACATATATAACTAAGCATAGAAACAACTTAATTCTTTGTGGTTGTGAGTGTGTGCATACGCAGCAGCTGGAAGAGGGATGCAGTCATTTCTCTGGCACCAGGATTATTTGATGCGAGAGCCAAAAGAGGATTCAGGTACCCAGCACTGCCTGATAGTATTTAATCGATGCAATTATTTAACTTGAAAATGAGAACCCAAAACTCATGCTTTACACTGTATCTTTAGCAGGAAGATGCTGAAAGTTCATAATGCGGCTGCAGTTACTGCTGCAGTTATTGCGACTGCCTTTTGCAGAAGCGTTGTGCACATAAATGACATCCCGCTTTTGTGTGTGCTTGACACAGTCAATAGCTGTTTCACGTAAAACAGTATTTTGAATTCAGCACACACTGTTCTAGTGCTGGTGTCATCAGTTCTGCTTAAAGAGATAAAATAATCTCCCTTCTCCTCTTGCCACCTCCTGCTTATTCATCCAAACGCTGCTGACCTTTTTTGGCACAATATAGAGCGTTTTGTGTTCAACGGCAGGTCTTTTGTAAATCCGTTGAGAGTACCATTGCTCTCTAGGATGCAGCTCCCATTTTTGCAGGCATGTCCTTTCCCCTCTTCCGGCGCCCATAGCCGTGCTCTTGGTCACACCAAATCATCTCATTCCAATCAATTCAGGTCTTTGAAACCATTTATAGGGTGGTGTATGGACATCCCATTTCCTCCTCCCAGCCTGCCACTTAATAAAATACGCAGCGACAAGAGTCTGACCATCACAGCTTTCAAATTCAGTACCAGGCCAGCGACGAAAAAAGAGGAGCATATTGCCAGGCCTAGCATGGGGGAAGGCCGCCCGCAGCCGGACCCCGTTTCCTCGCTGACCGTCGCTCGGAGGTTTCTCCCTACGTACAATCTGCTTTGCAGTCCCCGTGTGTCCCCCTGCTAACCGGTAACACCAGTTTGTTGGACGGAATGAGCTACACACAGCTCTTCGCTATCAGACTGCCTCCCGCTTTTTGATCTGCTAGACATTAAGACCTCCACTCGCACAAGCTATCAACCTCCTTAAGCTCCCCACTTCCTTCAAGCGCGCTTGCAGGCGACTCTGGAAAAAAAAACCCAACCTTTTGGAGCGTTCTTAAAAACCAGGGGGTGTTTAGCTTCAAGCAGATCCAGTGACAGTCAATTTAGCGTTGTTAGTATACACAAATAAAGAAATGCAAAATGAACTTACCGGGAGGAAAAAATAGTTGTTTTGTATACACCACGGTGCCTGGTCGCTTGAATTAGGAAAACTTGCATTTGATGAATTAAGAACTGAGGGAAAAGCTTTCACAGCGTTATCCAGGAAAAACTAGAGAAAAACAACATGTAATCCATTAGCCTGTCAGCTACAAAAGGTCAAAAGAGAGAAGAGAAATGGAGAAAGCCTTGCCAGTAATCATTTAACTTCAGCATTTCACTGCAAATAGAAAAAGCAAAGGGAAAATGGCATCCCTTGATTACCTGCTCCTGCATGCTTCAGACCAAAACAACTCTGTTAACCCGCACCTGACACTTCCTATTTCAGTACGAGATGAAACCCTTTTTGTCATGTTATCTTCACATATCAGAATCTCATACACGCTAGAGACAACGATAAAACAGATTCAACAGGAAGAATAATTCCTGGGTTTGCCTCAACTGAACCTCCTACTTAAATGTGTAAAGAACTAAAGAAAGGATGGTAAGTCTTGAACAAAGTTGATTTATACAGACGCAGCCTTCTCGCATTAAAGATGTTGATAAAATTGCTCCTAATCTCATTGAAGTGGAAGATGGGAAACGCTATCTGCTGGATGGTGAAATTCGGCCTCCGGATGATACAATAATGATGCATTAACCCCGTGCACTCTTCACCAGCTAGATCTCTTTGACCGCATTAATTCCCCTGCTTTGACTCTCACCACTTTAGGGACTAGCAGCTCTCCCTGACTTTAACCAGCCTCATTTTTTTTTCATGGCCAGTTGCTCTGCTTTTGTTCTCATGCTTGTAGATAGCTTCTTGTACCTCACGTCTGAGCAGAGCACAGACAGCTGATGAAGTGATAGCAGCTTAACACACATCGCCTTAATCATAGCCGCTATCGCTGTGCTCACCAAACGGGAGCTAGTCTTCCTTCCCTGGGGCTCACTTAAATACATTTGGCTTACACGTGCCATGAGGTGACAGCAGCCACATGGACAGTTGGGCGATTCAGCTGAGTTGTCATTAAGCTGACATAACTAATCAAGCCCTTGCACTTTTCTCATCTCCAGCTAATGAGCTTCCAATTTACATCAGAATTTCTTGTCACTCTTCTGTCAGGCCAACCATGATCTTACACTTCGTACTACTAAATTTCACCCTATTTCTTTCACTCAGATCCTCAGCTGACTTTTTCCTTTCTAAAATCCCAAACCTTTCCCGGCAGATGTTGCCTGTCACCTTCATTTTATCAGCAAATTTCCCAGTCGCTCTCATACACTGTACATGAAACCCGCAGCACGCTGATCATTGTGGACTCTACACGTTCCCTCCCTCCAGTCTACTGGTCTCTGCACTTCAGCCAGTTCATGATCCAAATTTGTTTCCCACCATCTCCATCTTCTCTAGCTTACCTACTGTCCCAGAGAAAAACTGCTCAGTTCACTCCGATTGCTCAAACCAGGATCAAAACGGTTTATTGATTTACTAACTGCATGTAATTAACCAGCAATCAGTGAACTGTACGTTCAGGATCAATGCCAGTGATAACAACAGATAAACCACAACACCAGATTAAAGAGCTCCTGCACTCTACTAATAGTTTATATGGTACCCTATATTAAACACTTTACCAAGGACCATAGTAAAAAGGATCTACCGCATTTTTACCAGCTACAGAAGTAGTTACATTAGCAAAATAATATCATGTTAGTCTGGCATGACATAGCTCTGTTAAGCCCAAGTTGTATTTTATTCCATTTTCCATGTTTCTGTATGTTTTTAGTGATTCTTAGAAATTTATTCTAAAATTAAATTCTGAGGTCAGACAAATGTGCCTTGGTTTGCTCACATAATCCCTCCCTCCTTTATGCAACTGTGCGCTGTTCTCCTACTAGTTCTTTAGAAGCATGATCAAATGCATCTGCTTTTTTTTGCAGATATGAAATAACTGTATTTAGTTTCAGAATCCTATTTCACACATTCCCACAGAGCAAAAGATTATATGCCATTAAGAACGCCAATGCACTTATATTTTATATATATACACATATGTGTATATCTATTTATATGTATTAATCTCTATTAAAGCATTTTAATTTTGTTTTTGAGCTTTGCACAGGACATTTCTGACATAAATGTTGTTTGCATGCACAGAATGCTCTAAGAAATGCAATATACCTATGAATACATAAATAAACATAGAAAAGAATAAAAAGGATTTGGAAATGTTATCATCTCCCATGAGCCAAACAACATTTATCTCTGAATGATGTGTTTGTACTTGTCTCTCTTGTCTTTCATCAGTTATCTACATCTGCTATCACGCTTTGGTGATATATATTGTTCCTCAACATAGTATTTTTTTTTAAGAGACAGCTCAGTCCTACTAAGCAGTCACACCTACTCAAATGACTCAAATGAAAGCAGTATTTTTTAGGAATATCAATGTTTGCCACTGACTATCTGAGCGTACTACCATTACATTCTCATTTTAATAGTTACTTATACGAACAGGTTGACTGTGTGATGGGTGGGCAGGAAGGAGAGAAGTTTAGCTAGGAAATACCTGTCCACAGAAGTACTGAAGCACAGGGGGAAAAAAAGAGGCAACATTAATTGATTTAAGTGTGTCCACAGATAATTCTAGTGTGGCCTTTAACTTGCTGTAGCACAATATCATGCAAGATTCATCTGTAAAGACAAATGCTACTATCATTTTCTTGGCAAAAAAAGGCTTCAGCTACTCTCAGCACACCAAGAAGTGCTCTTTCTGCTCATCAGCAATAGCGTCATGGCACAGAGGTGAGGTCTTTTGGAGGTAGGTCACCAGTTTCAGGGCAGAGGAGTGTTTAATCAATCGAAATACATACATAAACAGCAAAAATAAAGGGCTGGCCTGCTATTAAAAAATGCAGTGCAAATTCAATTTACAGCTTAAGTTAAATCCCATCGCTACTTTCTCTTCATTATCATACAAAATTACACTGAAAAAGAACATGTAAAGATTATAAAGGAAAACATAAAAAACATTTTTGTTCCTCTCCTACTCTCCTCGATCCTCTTGCCTCATATGAATCGGTAGCTATACATTAATTTGCTGCTACTACAGAAGAGCTGGCAATTTCCTCAAGACACAGCAGTCTACAGCTTTTAAAATGCTGTGGGAAAAAAAGTTGTTCATGTTTGTCCCCTCCTCTTTGGTTCAGCAAAAGAGAGAGTGACAAGAATGTACTTTTCAGTAGGGTGGAAGCATGTAAGCCTGTTATCACAGGCTGAAATAGAGGATTTGCATTTTTCTTCAAATAAAAAAATGCAATGACACCTTTGTGCAGCGTTGCTGTTTTGTTTGGCTCTCTCCAGCAAGCCTGCAGGACTCCCAAGTGCTTCTCGTCCATTGTTTCTTTCTCTACCACCTCTCAGAATATCCATGTGGTTTGGGAGCGCTTTCTCCTCAAAACATGTATCGCCGCTTGGTTTGAAAAATATCAGTGGGTCTGACAGCTGAGTCACACGCTCATCCCCAGTTGCCCTCAGGAA